GTACAGTGCAAAAAAGCTAGTTTCAATCTTTTTTTTTGTTTTTTTGTAAAAGAAAAAAAAACACCACACCGCTTCTATAAAATAGGAATGATTTTGAGCAATGCATGCAAAATGGTCACTGGCAAAGCAAAATGCCATTGTACATCATTATCTCACACATTAATCACACAGCTTCAAGCTTGGTTAAAACAGAGGCACTTCAAAAGGCCCGTGCTTAGCATTATCAGTACAAAGAAGCTTAAACAATTTATCTGGGCCAAGTCCCAGAGTAGTTTTAATACATAATTAGGACTTATGAGATCTTACGACAGGCATTACATAAAAAATGTAGAGTTCTTACATATACACTCGCACATTTTGGGTTAAAAAAATCAAAACGAAGCCTGGCAATAGGCGTATATAAAAAAATTGAAGGACATTGCTTGTTAGTTTCGGGTTAAAAGTACGTTTCGAAAATCACATTTTATCAATTTACAAGCAACTTCCATCTGGCGCAGAAGAACTACCCCGAGGAGGCAGTCTCAGACTCCTGCTGGCTCTCTGAGAACGATGATGAGAGGCGTTCCTTGTTCTGCCGAACAAGCTCAGCCCGACGGTCCTGTAAAAATAAAAATGGAGAATATTACAAAATTGTACTAAGACTCTGAGAGCGCCTCGCACCAAAACAAAGCATCGAGCGAGTCCGAGGACGCCAGAGGCGCGCACGACCCCGTAGACGACAGGACCGAGAGAGATCTGTACAACAAAGTATGTTACTTACACGTTCCTGAAGGCGTTCAAGCATTTTCTTAATGTTGTCTTCACGCTGTTCGGCGGCTTTCTTCAAGCTCTCCTGCAAAGCCTGATTGATCTCCTCTGCCTGCTTGTCCAAATTCTGACGAGTCTCTTCTCCCTTCTTGAGCTGCAATCAAATAAAAATGACCATTAAGAGTAAAGTTAGGAGAAAACATCTTATCTCTCAATAATGTGGACTTAAGACACTTACATGATCCTTGACTTTCTCCTTGACTGAGTTAATGTGAGCCTCACGCTTTTCAACGTGGCTTTCAATTTTTTTCTCCAAAGCCTCCTTCTTCTTGGAAGCCTCCTCATCAATCTTCTTGGCAAGAAGCTCAACCTTGACTGTCTGCTCCTTGGCCTTTCCCTTCACAGATGAAATGTGGGCATCCCGCTTTTCAACAGCGCTTTCAATTTTTTTGTCTAAAGCTTCCTTCCTCTTAGAAACCTCCTCCTCGCGTTTCTTGGCAATAATTTCTATCTTCTCCATCTGAGCTGCAAGCTGAGCCATTTTGTTGGCCTCATAAGACTGCAAAAGCGAAAAGGTAGAGACGTCATTAGCACAGTTTGAGACATTCTGTGTAGCAATCAAAACCAAACTTAGCAAAACCCACCAGTCTGCGCTCTTCAGCTGCCTTCAGCTTTTCCTCCACGGTTGCCTTGGGAGTACGGAGAGGAGAGGTGTTTCGTTTGGGCGGAGACTGAATTGCAGGTTCCGCCAGAATCGCCTCATACTTGACGCCACCCTTGGACGTCTCCTGGGCACGGATTTCGACAGCTGCGCAGAAAAGACAAAGAGAGTTAGAGCGATCCTGGCGCTTGTTGAAAGTGTAAGAAATCTTGCTTTGAAGGGCTTGTGAAGAGAGAACAAATACTTCGTAATTACGAAGCAATATCTTCGCAATACAATAATGCTTCGTACTTCGTAGTTTACAAAGCATCATCGGCATCCTTCGCAATTTGAAACGCGTCTGCAAAGCAACAGTCAACCTTTCCAGCAAATGACGCGAGCAGGTTAAGCCCTTCTCCAGCCTGAAGCAATTGTAAATTTGCATTCTCATCGTGTTCAGAAAGAGTGCGAAAGAAATAAAACAATAAACCGTGCCAGTGCAACTAACGTCACCCTGGCAGCTCCGGAGATACCCCGAGGGTCACAACGAGAGCCCCCGGAGGACCGCTCGCCCTCCGGCTATACTCCGGGCAGCCGGAGCTGGCCAAGCCGCAAGGAGTATCGCCGCTCTACCACCTTCACATTGTCCTGCCCGCGACAAAACATGCCAGCAGGCAAAAATCTAGGGTTGGAAGCCCTGGAAAGTGTCCGGAAAATTTCTGGAAAAGACGGAAAATCCCCGGGAAAATGGAAAATTTCCCAGACTTCGAAAGTTTAGTTACTTTCCGGAAATTTTCGCGGAATTTTACGGAAAAGGTCTGGAAAATTTTGGAAATTTCCAACCCTACAAAAAGCGCTATATATAAGGCATGCCAATTTTTTAAAAAATGTAAAAAGGGTACTATTACAAGCAGGAGCAAATTTAAAAAGATACTGCTTAATACAAAATATGATAAAGGACGCTCTCGATTCGAGTAAGTTCCGTTGGTAATAATGAATAACTCCTCGATACATCGGCGTCACACCTGCCGCCCGCCGCCGTCTAAAGTCACGGGAGTCGCTATCAAACCAACATCTCCATCATTGCATCCACGAGTACCACCCGCTTGCGGCTCCACACAACGGTGTAGAAGACCAATGCGCTGCCCTATACGGCTCCAGTCGAGGAGGGAGGGGGTCCTTGCCCCCTTAGCCGGGTCGGGAGAGACAGGCGGGCCCCGACTTCCGGATATAAATGAACCAGCCCCGTCAAAGATTCACGACACGCCCCCACCTATCTAACTCGGCCGTGCGTGCAAAACCCATCGACCAATCACACAGCCGATACACTCTTTGACTTCCGGACTTCCGGTCCGGCCCACAGCCGTTTGGTTGTTGTTTTTTGTTGTTTCTTTTTTTTTTTGTCAGATTTATGCTGCAAATTATGGGAGCTCGGCGCCTGCGAGACTCAGTGTAGGCCAGCCCGCAGTACACGCCTGCACAGCAAGCAGGGTGTTGCCTACCTGCCAGGCGCTTCGAGAGCTGGCCGGCGGCTGTTTCGTCGTAACAGAGAGCAAAAGCAAATTGCCAGGTTAAGTTACTTTGTCCTTGAGTGCCAAATATCGGCGATAAATGTGACGTCATCATAATATCAGCAAAGAAATGGCAAACGGGAAGCTCGCAGTGTTTTTCAGGAGTGCAGCACGCGGGGCACTAGGAGGGGGATGGGGGCCTCAGTCACGGAAAGTCTAACAGGTCGTACGAACGAAGGTCGAAGTACGACCCAGCCCCATAGTCAGGGTCAGGGCGAACATGGCGCTGCTATCATGACCCTCCCGCACCCCTCCCCCCCTCTCCCTCACCCCAATTCATTCTGTCATCGCTTCTGGCTGACGCCATTCTTTTACAAATACGCCCCCTGCCCTATGCGGCTATAGGCTGCTCCCTATTGATTCCGATTGATTCCTATAGACAGCTCTCTCTCTCTCGTGACTAATAACTAAACCGCAAACCCCAAATCAGTGCCATTACAGTAGTTTTTTCTCGTAATTGTTTAAAAATGGGACGCGATAAAAAAAATGCAGCAGCAATGCATAATTAAAAGCGTAAGGAAATAAAACAATTATTGTGCAAACAATAGTTAAACTTTCGACAAAGATATAAAAAAAA